TTATATGTATATATATATATAGAGAGAGAGAGACACTTACCCTATCAATTTTTTCGATTTTCGTGAATTTATATCTTTCCGTACTCTGCTTTGTCATGTTCTATTTCTTTGCATATGCTACATTATGCCCAAGTCTCTGTCGGCATAGTTCCAACGGGAAGAGAATAAATAGATAATTAAAAATGATGGACTTAAATGAAAGTAATCATGGCACATACATTGTGGGCAACTCATGCATGCCATCTTTTCATCTTGCCTTAGTTAGTCCAAATTTCACCCCCACAATTGTCCATTTGGACATTTCGATACAACTGTGATGACATGGCTTTCGTGGCGACGGTGGAAAGTGTGCGGACGTTATGAAAGTGGTGTGGTGCTTTTACTTTGAGCTTCTCTTGAGAGCCCCGATGGGAGAATATGCGAATTTGAGAGTATTTCAAGTTCGTGCGCCAAGGCAGTTTGGCCATTTCAAAGCTGCTATTCCCTAACGAGAGGGTTAAATTCAATCGCTGGCTCTTGTTAGTCAATTTGGTCATTTTTCAGGTGAAAAAGTGTATGCGAAATTCAGACCCGCAGCTTTCTGTGTGAGTTGAATGGAGAGAAGAAGAAGAAGAGGCAGGACGAGGAGAGAACGGATAATATGCGGCAGAAGAAGGTGGAATGCAAGAAATTGCAGATGATGAAAGAGGCAAACGAATAAAATGGGGCGAAGGAGTAGAAAGAGAAACACGATGCACAAACGGGAGAAGAAAGAAACAAAGTTGTAACTGGGACGGTCGGCGGGAGAGGAGGATGAAGGAGGAGACGCATAGCTGCAGCCGAGAACAAGCATTCCTGCCCAACTAGTTCGTGACATGCACAAGTCAATGTGCCCATCCGAAAGAAGTGCACAAGAAGCTGCACAGACGCGATTGCCTCAACTCCCTTTTGAGCAAAAGGCCAAACGGTTGCCCATGCCATGGCGCATCAATCAATGCAATCTCCAGTGGTACCCAGTCGCTCATGTTTAGGGGGACTTTCATTTCATGTGAAAGTGAATGAAGAAGAGATTCGTTGCTCGATCTCACCACATGAGGATGGATGAATCTCGTTGTTATGGCGAGATTGATCAACGAATCTCTTCTTCATTCACTTTCACACGAAACGAAAGTCCCTCTAACAATGTCATCTCAAGAAATTCATCGAAACCCAGTTTATCTTCATACTCTTTCATGGTCAGAGTGAAAATGACCCTCTCAAAATGGTAACTTTGGTCGTCACCCTCGCTACCTCGACCAACAGGCTTTGATGCACTGGGCCCCGTCCAACCGTGACACGCAAGCTGAGCTTGTTTCAGTCAATTATCACTTCTTTCACAAACTTACCATTTTCCCCAAGTGAGATGACTTGGTCGTGTTGTCAGCGTCAACAGTTCGACAGAAAGTTGGTCAAGGGATTGACTTTTCCTGTCTTTTGCAAGAGCTGTAGCTGAGATTGGTGCGCAGAATGGCAATACTCACAACATCAGCGGAACGTCTGAGAATGTACCAAGTCCATAGTCCGATTCTGGGAACTGCGATAACTAGGAGAGCAGAAGGATTCGCACAAGCTGCATCCAACTAGGTCGCCCTGGCAAAAAGAATAAATTGCGAAAACGAGGTCACACCATTTCTATGCATCGAAAGGAGACTGTGACCAAAATGGAAGCCACAACAGCTCGGTTTTCATACCT